CTGCCATTACGGCACTGCAACCTTCTGTATACCACGGAGGAATACCAGTGGGTGTCGCTACTCCAAAGGTAATCTGGAAACAAGGTTCTCATAATTCAAATTCGAACATCGATGTATTGATTGCTTAACGAAAGTTCGTAGTAGGTACCGTATGCAAGTTGCTAGCATATCCATCCATAGCACAGTCATCGTCCTCTAATCCACCGTTCCCGCTGGCCCATACGTATAGAGAGCCCAGTCCTTTGCGCCCCTGAAAACGGAAAAACGATTCAGATTTAGCCAAGGCAATTAGTGAGTAGGTGTTGTAGCTTTACATGCACGGCGCCGAACTCTATGGCCTTCTGTGCCAGAGTACCTGGTCGTTCTGCTGATCGACCGTCGTCCTTTGGTCCCCAGCTCACCGAATAAATATCGATTCGATCGCTCCTAAATCAAATTAGGCGAATGTGATTGATTCATTTTTACTGTCAGTTCGTTCCCTACTACTTATGTCCGCTAGATCACACGCGAATAGGGAAAGAAAGCTCCCTCCATTAATAAGAGGAATGTTGCGCCGCAAGCGTGCGCATCGGAGAGCTTTTTTGAAGAGCTCGTGTCTGGAGCCAGCAATTCCTACTAGTATTATCAGAAGAAATAACAGCAGCCATCCGAATGCGGCTTCTCAAAAGTTTCCATATACGATTTACAGACATGCTCTACACTCTTCAAATTGCAATGAAAGTTAGGAACGATCGATTCCCATCAAAAAATGTGCTCACTTATATGCGAGTGCATCTCCTTCAATAGCGTCGTTGAGGAATTGATCATCAGCCAACACAGTCAACCCTGGAAGTCATTTTCATGTATCCATTCTAAAATTACTACAGTGTACTAATTCTTTACAATAATAATCCTTCATTATAAATTTCAATCTTAAAAGAGTAAGCTCAAAGACAGTATAGCGCCAGGAAGCGATGTTTTCTTAGAAATAACCTGATGATCGGATCTCTGATCGAATCTTCTTGATGTCACCAAAGTGTTGTGTTACTACAGTGGCGACTGGTACTAACGAATGGTAAATAA